AATACTCAAGATAGGAATATAAGCTACATCTTGAGCTGTTCATCCAGTACTATTCTATATGTTGCATTTAGACCAGTGGGGTATACGGCGATTGTATAGGAGGCCTCTCGGCCTTTTTGTATATAAACGGTCTCAGCGCGTTCACAACAGTTGACGATCAAAATCAGCATCAGAAGCCTCCACCGATCAAGGACAAAGAAGAAGTCTCCACCAATCAAGAATGATGAAGAAAGCTCCATCGATCAAAGCAATGAAGAAGCTTTACTGACAAAGGGCGAGGAAAAAACCTCATCAATCAAGATTGGAGAAGACTTCTACACCTATCAAATACAACGAAGAAGCCTACAAGATCAAATACAGAAAGAAGAAAGAAGCCGTTGCCACAAGTCCAGGAAAGTCAGCCATGCATAAAATTGCAAAAGAACGGTGTGGTCATGATTCTCATCTAGAGAAGATCCAATTTGAAGATTGTCATGATCGAGAAAATGAAGATGCAGCTCGAGGAAATAAAGTCAGTGTTTGCCACTCTTAGCTGCAGTCAAAGGTTGCCATCCAGGACGTCAGTGAAGATCAATATAATCAGTTGAGCCTGAGCAAAGATATGCAAAAGTTTGTCTCAGACGAAGAGACAGGTAACACATTCATCTATTGGTGTACGGAGGTGACGCTTCATTGGCGGACAACAAGAAGCGCGATCTGATCCCCGTAAAACGGATGAGGACGCATATTGGAAGTTGGATGAAGTTCTGCTATGCAAACACATGAACTGGATTTCGATAATGGTCATGAATCTTCAGAAGCTGTTCGCCTCTAAGAAGACATTGATAAGGAGAAGGTGGAAGTGTTTTGGGGTCACCTGTCCGCTGCTGACATCAGCGTGCATGCAGTTTTAGGAGTACACCAACACAATTAGGCGAATGGACGAGGATGCGCGACTCAAAGAACTCGATACACGGCGATAAAGGCGTTATAATTTGCGGTGGGTCTTTAGGATCGCACTTTGCGGGAAGTTCGCCTAAGGATGATTCGCCGACTGGACTCACATGCGGATGACACTCCACTGACAATCAAAAATCTGGTTAACGATTGTAAGATTTTTACCGCATTGAAAATGGAGAACACGGACATGGAAGGAGCACGACATCCATGTGGTGTGGAGGAAATAGGTTAAATGCTTCAGCTGTGGGACCCACATCTCAGAGCAAATGCCTATTCTCCGCGTCCATTGGTCAGAGGAACGCAGAGGGATCCGATTCTATGGTCGCAGGAGACATGGAAAAACGTTGCCGCGTTTGACGCCGAAATTGCAAGGACTTATCTCAACGTCGTTATCAATGGATGTTCCTTGCGCTTCCAGCTGGACACATGCAAGTAGCTTTGATATCAAGCCGAACCTGGAGGGGAACGAATCGCCTAACAGGAAACCCTGCATCATATCAGTGAAAAGGCCGCCCGTGAAGATTAATGGTAAATTTTGTACCGACTTCTCCATCAGAGATCTTGTTACAGGAAAGAAGACACAAGGAAATGGAACTTGCTACGTCACCGAAGGCATGTCTCTACTAATTAGAGTGGTATCCAGTTGCCGGCCTACAAAGAGTTAAAGAACAACTACCACTGCCGGAAGGTGACCAGAGAAGAAATGTTTTGGACGGAAGTTGTCGCAGACTTGAAGAAACAGTATGCCGAAGTCTTCAAATGCTGACTGGGAAAAGCACGAATGGCAAAGCAAAGCTATTTTTGAAGGACCATGCAATTCCAGTCTTCAAGAAAAAGCGACCGATTCCAACGCAACCGCATCGGAACTGGAGGCAGAAATCGATCGTTTGGTTGCCAAGCGAGCGATTTCTGCAGTGGAACACTCAGAATGGGCCATGCCAACATCATCAAGTAGAAAAACGGGAATACCGAAAAATCCGTTCATGTGCGGACTTCTCGATAGGACTAACGATGCACTTTAGCTGCAACAGCACTTATTGCCCACCTGAGTATGTGTTCACGAAGCTCAATGGAGGGCAGCTCTTCACACAGATTGATTTGGTAGAGGCATTTCGGCAGTTCGAAGTAGAAGAAGCATCAAAGGATATGTTAACGATAAATACACATAAGGGATTGTATCGTAACAATCGTCTACCTTGTAGAGTCAATCGGCACCAGGCATTTTCCAGCAAATCATTCATACTATGATAAGTGGATTGGACGGCGTAGCTGCATACCTTGATGATAACCGTTACCGGAAAGGAAGACTTACGAGCTACATCACAGGAACTTGGATGCGTTGCTCAAAAGGATCACGTAGTAGGACTTTCACGTCCAACTGAAGAAATGTCACTTCT